GTGCCGCAGGCATCGCAAGGATGGGAATGAACGGAAGGAGAGCAAAAGCTGAGCAATGCAAAATTCTGCCACCACGGGTCATTGAACCGCCAACTCTAGAAGTATGATCGTGTTGCCGCCTGTTCCCCCCCCCCTGCCAACTCCACCAAACTGTCTTTGTCCTACAGTGATTAAAATCAATGACACTGAATTAGAAGTATATTTATTCAGAAATAGAACATTAGAAATCTGTGTGAAAACAAATGGAGCAAACGGGCAAGCACCATAAATGCGGCGAGACTCCTTATGGAGCAAAAGCGCTGGCTGGCGATCACCAGTGGAGGGAAGGCTACCGTCTTCGCTAGAAGGCATCAATCACTGCCTCAGTCACGTGAGATAGGCCTTTATTCTTCGTCCTCATCTTCACTGCTATGAATGCTGGGTCGTCGACTGGTGGCGGCGGAGGGGACCTATCATGGAGCAATGTTTTTTGAAAAGTTCAGTAATCCACAGAATCCTATTCTCCTACCTTTCCTTCATTTTGACGTATTATGTTGTCCATATCAGGATGCAACTTTTCCAGAGCCATTCGTCGGCAATCCCTGTAACAATGCAAATGAGAAGCGTAACCAGTCGGGCAATGGTAAGCAGCTGTGGGTCAGGAATTTTGAATTTTTACGGTGGCAAAAACACTAGCAATAGCGCGTGGCATTCCTTAGGTAATCGACTCGACGTGCTGTAGCCAGGGCATGTGCAGTGACCGGAAAAATTCGGCAAAATACGACCCTTCTCGAAATTCCCCTGTTATACAGACCTCTCCCCTTTCGCCGTCCCCCATCCTACCTACCGTAAGTCCTTACCATCTTTCCCATCTTCTTGAAATCTCCCAAATTCCCACCGTTTCTAGCACCTTTTTTCAAAAACTCTACACTTTCCCCGAAAAATAGCCGTACCACGGCACATCATTGGTTGGGGATTTTAGTCGAGTCTGTACGACCCCCCCCCCCTCCGGCCCTCTGTCCTCCTCATCGAATCGAGCCGTCGAGCGGGAGGGGGGGGGGGGAATAGCACATGTGAAACAGGAAAAGCCGCGAGACAATACGACCGCCCCCTCCAAGGTGACCAACAAGGTGGTTCCTCAACTTCCTGTCACTTTTTCCAAAGGTTCCCGAAAAATTCCCTAATTTCCCCAAAAATTTTGCTGTCGAGGGGGGGGGTTAGTACGCGCATGTTAACAGGAAAATCACCAAAAGTCAACCATCACTCCTACAACGCCAAAACGTAAATACGATCCCCCCTTTACAACGTTTGTGAGGCGAGAAAAATCAATTATCAAAATAAATTTTTCCCAGTTCAAATAGGACTCCCCCCTATTGGGGATTCCCCAACAAGAATGTACCCTGAGCCGTACAGCGCGCGGGGTGGGAGGGGAGAGAGTTTTAGATAACGCACATGAACCGAAAAAAAGAGGAACTTTGATAAGGAAAAACATTCATCAGCCCCAGGGTAAGGAAGGTCTTGGTGGAGAGAGAGAGAGAGAGAGAGAGTGCCGACTCGAGACTTGAACTTTGAACCGCGCGCGGGGTAAGCGGCGCGACTTGCCATTGCTCCATCTCTGCACATACCTGTAGAATACTCCGAGGCTGTTCCAGTCAAGCAATTCACTGAGCCTTTCCGTTCTGTTTCGTTGAATAATTCGTTGTCGACGAGACATACCGCAGAAATCGTACCTTAAAATGGAGAATAAAGGACTTGATGGAGGTCTCAGTCCGTTGGTCTTTAAGCTAACGGAATGAAAAGAATTTCATTTCTAAAGCATTTCAAACTGACATTATTTGGGCTAGCTGACGAACGGATTCCTCTGGACTTTTGTATCGTCGATCAACAACGTAGATACCGTATGAAGAAGGGTCTTCGACATGTTCCTGAAAAACCGATCTTTGCCAAGACTTTAGAAAAAAAACCCTTTTGAAGTTCTATTTTTCAATGAGATCAATTTCATCAGTCAAGAAGTTCTACGGAGACACAGTGATTAATGGTGGAAGAGCACCAGCTAAACGATCAAACATCATCTACGCCTATCTGCGTTCATTATCGGGTCGCAAAATATTTCCCAAACACGACTGATGCTATCATAACGACTAATTTTCATATTTTGTGAAATATCTTTAGTTGTACATAAGCACCGCATCACCCCTGGCTCCACTGGGAACACCAGCATCAGGCCCCGGTGGCAAGCACTTGAAAGTTTCTTGGAAGAACTTCAAAAATTCTCTCGAAAAGTCGCAGAAGTTCGCAAAAAGCTTGTCAAAGCCAGAGTCGTAAAAATCTCTTTGCAATCCACCATTGAACACAGTCCTCGCTGATCGCATGGGCGGAGAGAGGTGACCATTTTTAAGGTGGACTTATACGAAAAGGGTCCGGAGTTCGGACTACGAAAAGGGTTCGGGGTTCGGATGTGTGAACGTGGAATCTTTGCATAGGAGCTTCCTTTTCGGATGGATTACAGGCCAAGTGTGCAATTAGATCAATCATTAGAACGGTTACCCAGGAAATAGCTAATCGCTGCCTCGGTCCGTAGAAAAAGGAAGTCGAAGGCACAATCCTTGTTGATCGTATGGGCGGAGAGAGTCGGCCAATTTGCCTTTCTCATTGGCGCGCCCATCTCCTTCGTAATCTCGGACGGAGGAGCACACTAGTGAAGGATTACAATCGTTAAAGGCAGCTGGCACGATAAATCCCCAAGACGAGTAGGATTAATATGCCTGGCAATGCGGAATTCCGCGACCCTGAGCAGGCGCTGCGTAGCGCCTTTC